CTGCTTAACCTGCATCAGTTACGAGCAGGTGGGAGTGAGTACAGTTAAATATCATACTCACACTATGCAATGCACATTTAGTAATATGTTAAATAGGCATGGTCGCAGCATGAACATAAGCAACATCACATATGTCACATCTCCAACATAAACATAAATACTCCTGTGTACACATCTTTCATAATACTCGTGGAAAGGGGATTCATTACCCTAACGGCGAGAGTACGTGCCACGCAAGGACACGACCTTTCATAATAGGTCTTAAGGAGACTTGCCTTGCACGGGCAACCGTATTACATCGACGGGGACAACCGTACCGATGGCCATCATAATAACTCACATCGATAGGCTACATATTCACGTTCATACATAGATCACGCCAAATCAGAAAAACATATTTAAACACACATTGCACAGGTATTTTAGAATAACTAACCCACCTGGAAATTCGGATGGACGATAGCAATTATCAGAAAAGACGTGGGTCGAGGCTTGACTCCTGAAATACCTACATTAAGTCAAGGTCCTACAATAAATATCTTGACTTAAAAAGGAAAACACAAATCTGACCTAGTCGAACATATTTCGACTAAGTAGTTCGTGAAGTCCTGTGGAGTTGGAACACTGACTCATCACTTAACTTGACCAAACCACATAAACCAGATCACATAAATCCATCTAAGGATTGACCAAGTCAAACTCACATCAAAACGAAAAGCAAGTCGATTACCGATATAAATACCAAAATTATATTTTGGAAATAATAATCATTAATCACATAAAAATAGATGATCAGATTACCCTATGAATCAAGCTTTGAATTTTTACCCAAAATTACATCTCCCAGAAACATCTAAAACCATAAATTTTCAGCTTCAAAATCAAAATACACTATTTTATAAAATTCGAACTAGATATCAACAAAACAAGAACATCAATTTATACTTGAACTTAATGAACGAATCAGGACTTGTAAATTTAACCCAAAAACATACGGCATGCTAAAGTCCATGCATAAAAATTTCAGCCCTTAACATTAACTGCTACTATTTTTAAAAATCCATACGAGATTCAGCAGTTTATCAAATTTAAATCAAAACCGAATTAAAATGGATTTCAAAAATTCCAATCTTTTAACAGCATGATTCTACACATAACATAGGCATCTCAGTAAAATTTCAGAATTTTTCATCACATAACCGATTTATAAAAATTCAAACAATTTTCAGCAGATTCGATAAATAATTTATTATTCATATCAAATCAAGTCCAAAAATTCAAAAAATTTAACAAAACATATAAACATTACAGAGGCATGACATAATTGAATTTCAGCTCATTTGGTTCACGAATGAATTTATTTTTCAATTAACACTACTCTGATCAGATTTCATTATAATTATTAAAAATAGCTACAGGCTCCTAAAAATCACGAATTTTTTACACAAGGCTAGTCTTGAACAGAAAACATCACCCTAAAAATTTCAAGTCATTTCGAGCAGCGAGCTATTTTTAAAAATTCAAATACCAAAACAGCGACAATAAAGTTCGACAATTTTGACAATTAATCCGAAACACGAAAATTCTCGTCCAAGTCCTTCTCATAAGACCAAGGGCTCGACATTGTTCCAACATCCACCGACTTACACGACTTTCGGGGTCTCGTTCAATTCTTTAAAAATTGAAGAGGTCCCGAATACATATACGTCACATAAAATCATAACGAAACACATAATCGCGCATATTCACGTCTCACAATTCATATATTTATTAAATTGTTCAACGAGCACTTCACGACATTATACACATAACGAAATAAATCATATACGAGTTAAACGAGACGGGATCAACGAGGTACCGTTCTTGGGAAAAACTCGAAAAACGAAACGAACACGAAGAGGCGAAGACGAGGCTAATGCTCGTCGACGATGCATCATCTCGCCGAGGAGGGCTCGTTGTTGCAGCTAGGGCTCGGCGAGGAGCTGCGAACAGAGGGCCTCGACGGCGATGCTGCTGTGGCGAGAAAGGCCTGCGTGGATGGTGGCTCGTCGCTGGTGCCGCGGTCATGGAGAAGGAACAGCGGCGGCTCGTGGACTGCTCGCGGGAGGAATAGAGCTCGTCGGAAATTCGCGAACAGGGGTCCACGTCTGGTTGCTGGAGGTCGCCAGAGTTGGTTGCTGCGATCGGGATGCTGAGTGAACGCGAGAGTGGTGATTAGCGGCGTCGCTGCTGGCATCGCGGCGGGCTTGGTCGCGGCGTGAAGGGATTGTTCCCGGTGGAGATCGTCGCTCTTCTTCTCGCTGGAAAATCTGGTGGCCTGCTTCGCCGGCGGTGATTGGAGAAAGTGAGAGGGAGAGATGGCGACGGTCTAGAGACGACCAGATATCTGCTGCGTGAGGGAGAGAAAATCGAGAGCGAGAGTCTTTCTTATCTGTTCTTGCGACGAGAGATCAAGAGAGATAGGAAGGAGTTGCGGCGTGCGTTTTAAGAGAGAGAAGAGAGATTAATTAGACTAGGGTTTACAAGTCTTGCTTCTCAAGACTCACCCACACACGCACAAAAAGGAAGGAAAGATAACCGAGTCGGGCTGGGCGTGCGGTTTCTCTCGGGTCGGGCTGGGCGTGCGGTTTCTCTCGGGCCAGGGCGCGGGTTCCAAGAGTTCGGCAAACGACTCGGCTCTCGGGCTCGACTTTTAGCCGATAAAATAGCTCGGTTTATTCGCACGATAATTAAATTAACACCGGATAATATATATATATATATATATATATATATATATATATAATACACACATTATTTATTTTAAATAATAACAATATGAAATTAGACAAGTAATGACATTTAGACATTCATTTAAATTTTAATAATAATACTAATAATCCCAAATAATCCGTAAACAACAGGTTTACGAGCCGGTCAGTTTCAACTACGGGTTGATCGGGCTCAACTTCATAGAATCCTAATATATATATATCGCTCGGAAAATAAAATATGACGACCCGTAAATTTTTAGATTTACAAACCGACATAATATATATTTATTAGCACACAATAATAAATATATTATCCAGAAATTATTTCACTTTGGAAAAAATTATAATAATATTAATAATGCCAAAATATCCCGTAAAACCCATTATTCAAACGGATTATATTCAGTTCACGCAATTAAACCAAAATTCCCGAACGACGAACGTTTTTTAATAAAATGATCGAGTACTCGAACATTTTGTTTAAGTCGACACCGCTACCAAATAAATGTAAATATAACCTTATTAATAATATTCGATAAATAGAATATTCTGAGAAATTCTATAAATCGAACGGGGCGCTACAATCTATCCTCTTTAAAATATTTCCGTCCTCGGAAATGTAAAAGAAACACGCATCAAGGAAACGATAGACTCGATCAGGAATTTCTAATTACAAGGTCCGAGCATCACCCTTCGGAACTCGATTCCGCTCCCATGAGTCCTATCGTCCCACTCCTAAAAGGCATGAACTCACATACAGGAACCAATCCGACTCGCCCTATGCTCATATGTTTACCTTCTTGCCTGGGAGGGTGATTAATCCTACCCGAGCTCAGGCGTACATCCTTTTGCAAGGGACCCAGTTCGGTTTAGTCTATACTCATGAGTATCAACGACTTGCTTCGTACCCAACAACACACAAGACCTCAACAGGTCGTTCGGTGTATTGTCAGCGTACTCCGACTACCTCACCATCAAGGTGGACACGCGACGCCAAGTTTCAGTCTCCTATCCGAATCACACTGATAACTTGCTCACGATTTCACCACAGACCGTGCGTCCCCATCAGAGACTATGACACGGTACCACATACATACAACACGACACCAACATGCTAAAAAATACAAACGACTCAAGATGCTCATACTCTCCTAATATCGACTCCATGGGTCGAACGCACCCTTATGCACAAACGTAAGGCTTGAACAAATAGCAACACGACATTCCCTATTTGCCGACTCGAGAAACTCTCAAGTAAAGCACAGGGACTCAATGACTACATTCCTTAATCAGAAATCATCGATTAGGGATTTAAACACATAATAGTGGGACTTGGAGTTCTCGGTTCAAGGCTAGAATGAAAAGGTTTAGATAGGCTAACCAAAGGGTCTAGCATGGGACGGTTCGAACAGTTCAGGAAAAACATTAATGGTTGGCCGTATACACTAGCCTGGGGAGTTCGTGCGTAAGGTGATGGCGGCTGCACTCGCATACGAGTCAACGGTCGGCCGTGCACAAGCCTCCCGTCTCTCAGCATGGTCGTGCGTTCTCGGCCACCACTTCGCGTGGCTACATCCAGCCAGGGCCGGCGTTCGGTTCAAGGTTCCACAAGAAAGTTGTCAGTTCAAGATAGCCAATAAGATATAATCTACCGATTTTATCAAAAATTCAAGGCCCAACAAGGCAACATACATTTAGCATTCCACAATTTCAAAAGTTGGGTTCTAAACAAAACAATGTCATACGGTTTTTCACATTTCCAAAAGTTTCGAGTTTCGGAAATGGAAAGGTGCAAGTCCGAGTTCCAAGTCCACTATCTCCAAACGACAAACTAAAACACGCGAAAAGATCACACGCTTGTGATAGATGAGAAATCTCAATAGAATTCAAGTATGGTTAACCTCATTGTTTTAAAAATCGTACCGTATCGACCGGTAATACCGGTAATAGCGGTTACCGGCCATAGGTACGGTACAAAAACACACAGAATACCGGATTTTCGATAATACCGTGTTGTACCGGTATCATACCGTTTATACTGCCAAATACCGGGTCTTAATACCGGTCAGCCCAATAAAATTGATATTAAAAAAAAAAAAAAAGCCAAAAAGGCAAAAAACTTATCACTGCCAACATACGTGACTCATTCTCGTTCTTATCGAAGAAAAAACCTCTCCAAATTCCTCCTCTCTCAAAATCAAAACCCTTGGTCTCCTTGAAATTGAATGTAAGAAAATGACAAATTAGCTTCATACTCGGAGCAAACCAATCGGAAGTCGCCGGAAAGAAATTGAAAGGAAGGCATCTTTTGATTGTTGATTTTCGCCGGCGAGCCCTCAACCCTCAGGTTTGGGATTTTTTTTCCAGTTATTTTCTATTGAATACTTGATTAGTTGATTTAGCATTTCAATTTATTCTTTATTCACATGTAACTTGTAGATTATTGAAATGTTCATATTTTTTAGTAGATTGCTCTGATTTCCTTTCATCCATCAGAGGTATTTTTGTGCTTAAGGGTTCAGACATTTGGGATCAACTTCTTTAGTTTTTATTTTTTACATAATGTTTTTATTTCTAATATTTAGTTCTATATTCAATTAGTATACTTTGTGGGCTTTTGTGGATTGAAAGACTTCAGTTAGTTTTTAACATATATGTATCTTTCAGCCTTTAACTATGTTTATGGTCTAATTTTTTTAATGAACTAAAACACTTTGATGGGCTGGATAATATTCGTGCCTTTTCATTTATGTTTGGCAGATGGATTCACCTTCAAGTGGTCAACAAACTGATTCAACTTAAAATTCACTTCAGTCATCAGTGAGACAGAAGACTGATATGGCTTGGGACTATTTTAGAGAAAATGTAGATCAGAATGGGAAAAAAAGTTGGACTTGCCTTCTCTGTTCAGGCACTTGGAGAGGTGGTGGGATTACTAGAATGAAAAGGCACTTGGCTGGCATAAAGGGTGATATTGCTCCTTGTAAGTCTGTTTCATATGATATACGCTACAAGGTGGAGCAATCTTTAAAAGAGACTACTGCAAAATCACTTGATGCTCGTAATTTATTCGATGATCATTCAGTTGATATGGGTGAACAAAATCATCCTGAAAAGGACAAAGCACTTCCAATTGCAGCATCTACTCAAAGAGGAAAGAGAAAACAAAATGAAACATCATCTCAGTATTTTGCTCCGAGAACGACTCCAGGTTCACAAGTTTCTATCAAAAGTGCATTTGTAAGTAAAGAAGCTTTACACAATGCTGACATGGCCATTGCTAGATTTTGCTATGCTACTTGCATTCCCATAAATATTGCGAATTCTCCTTATTTTCAAAAAATGATTGATGCCACGACTTCCATTGGTCCTGGTTATAAAGCTCCTTCTTATTATAATTTGAGGACAAATTTGTTAGGAAGTATGAAAAGAGAAGTTCAATTAGTCGTTGATGGTAATCAGAGCATTTGGGAAGAGCGGGGTTGTACTATTATCGCTGATAGTTGGCAAGATCAGTCTAATAGACAACTTATCAATTTTTAGTGTATTGCAAAAGAGGAACTACATTTGTTAGATCTGTTGATGCTTCTGATGTTGTGAAAAATACAAACACTATCTGTGATTTATTTGTTGAGTTAGTTGAATGGGTTGGAGCAAGTAACGTAATTCATTTGGTTACGGATAATGGGGCTAATTACAAAGCTGCAGGAGTTTTGCTTCATGAAAAATATCCTTCTATTAGTTGGTCACCATGTGCTGCTCATTGCTTGAATTTAACTCTTGGTGACATTGGTAAAATGGAACTTGTAAGTAATCTTGAAAAGAGAGCTTCTTTGGTAACAAAGTTTGTTTATAATAATGCATTTTTATTAGCTTTGTTGAGAAAGAGAGCAGGGTGGAAAGAAATAGTACGTCCCGGCCCAACGAGATTTGCTACCACATTCATTTCTTTAAAGAGTATCCTTGAGCATCAACATGACTTGCAGGCCTTCTTTACTAGTAAAACATTCAAGGATTCACGGTATTTTAAAGATAAAAAATCAAGTTCTGTGGTTGGTGTGGTTCTTGATGCAAAATTTTGGAATGATTGTGCTGTGGTGGTTGGTGTGGTTTCTCTAGTTATACGTTTATTGCGACGGACACCGATCGTAGGCCTTCGATTGGTTATGTCTATGAGGGAATGTATCGTGCTAAAATAGCAATAAAGAGCATCTTTAAGAATAAAAAGAGACTATACAAGCCTTTCACAAGCATTATAAAGGCAAGATGGGATAAACAACTTCGTCGAGACATTCACGCAGCCGCATATTTGCTTAATCCTGCTTTTGTATATGATAAGAATAATATGTGCACAAAGAAGGAAATTATGGATGGTTTTTTCGAGATGGTCACCACTTTAGTTAGGGAAAAGAACCACCAACGAAAATGCATAGATGAGGTGAGCATATTTTAAGATAGAGTGGGAAGTTTTGGTCGACCACTTGCTTTCGATTCATTAAAGACTATGCAACCTGGTAAATTTTTATTTATTATGAGTTTAAAAGTATAGTTTATTGTTTTTATAATTATCTTCTTTTTTTTGTCTTTAAGTAGTTTTCACTTCTCAGCTTCCTTATTGTTACTATTTTTGCAAATCTTGTAGATGAATGGTGGAGGGTGTTTGGATGTAGTGCCCCAAACATTTGTATGTTGGCAATCAAGATTTTGAGTCAAACTTCTTCTTCTTCAGGGTGTGAAAGAAATTGGAGTGTGTTCGAAAGAATACATACAAAGAAGAGGAATAGACTAGAACATCAAAGGTTGAATGATCTTGTTTTTGTTTATTACAACCTACGATTATCAGAAAGGTAATAAATTTATTTATTTGTGTGAGCTTTTTTCAGTTTTCATGTTAATAATAATATTGTTTTTACATTTTTCAGTTTTCCTATTACTAATGATTATGTTGTCAGTTTGTTTTAGTTTTTCCTGTACAATCAAATATCTAAGTCATGATATTGTTTTTTCATTGGTAGGGTTGATGTGAAAAAGAATTATCAAGATCCAATTGATTATGAAAGTATTGACAAAACTGATTTTTGGATCGTGGATGATGAGGAAGTAAACACTTCCCCATTATTAGATATAAATGAGTTGAACGACATGCTTTATGGTGAGGATGCCCTACCAAGAAATGACGTGGAAGGTTAGTCTTTTCATCTATCTTTATAAGTTTCAACCATAATAAAAATCATTTGATTAATTTTATTTATTACTATCAATCATACTCTTCATTTTCAGATTTGGATAAAGGCACTAATGATGTGGAGGAATTACCTGATGTTGAAGTTGAGCTATTGGAAAAAGGAGATAATGATGATTTTGAGATTGAATTTGAAGGAAGAAATGATGCTGGGAATGCATGACTTGCATGATGATTGAAATCAAGTGGAATATATATATTCAGTTGGTGACTTTAATTTTGGAAGTTAAGTTAGGTCTTTGTTCTTTTGTTTCATGATGGGTATGTAATTGACTAGTTGTATTTGATGTTAAGATTTGTAATTTTTACTCATTAGCATCAAGTTTGTGTATGTCTTGAACATTAGCTTCAAACTGAGCCTGGTATTAGTGGATGATATTTCTTATTTTTATATATATATCATATATAAATGTATAATGTTATTTGTTTGGTATTACCGGTCCGACCGGTAATACCGCATACCGGTCGCTAGACCGGTATGACCACCGGTACGGTTTTTAAAACATTGGTTAACCTGTCGGGAGTAATCCCAACCAATAGCTCCTGACGGAAATACGACAACTAGCTTGCTTGACTTCGCCTTGCTTGCATTCTTTGAAAACATTTTGTGTTTAAGTCTTTTCGGTTGTTGGATATCTTGGCTTGCTTAATATACTTAGTTAAGACATTCATGGATCATACATACTACATGGATCAAGAATTAAATTATTTAGGTCATATAATCGAGCATTTTGATGGTACGTGCCAATTTCGAAATCAAACTAATGATTTTGCAAAAACATGATATGCGCAGCGATTTTTCAAATGGTCACAACTAGCAGCACATAAGTCGAAATAACATGAAACCAGTGGCATGTGATTCCTAAGACATAGATTTATAACTCTCAAGAACAACTCAGAATCAGAAGAGGTCATTATTCACATGATAAATCAATAAACATTCACATAAGGGGTGCAGTCAAAAACATTCAAATAAGATGGCAGTATTTTGAGGATAACTCGAGCTACAGTCATGGTATTACTGAAGTTCAAAAACCCTAAGGTAGCAAACTCAATTTCCTACAACTTGTATGAAGACTTAATTGCCAAATAACAACATTATCAATGAGTTTAACTGCAAAACATTTAGTTCATAGAAACAGTCAGAGAACAACTTTTCGGATATACAACACCTCAGAAAAATGACAACAACTCAAGCTACACAACTCCAATGCGTACAAACTCAAAACCTACAGAATCTACATACAGACATCAATTCAGAGCATACATTCATGCATTCACACAGCAACTGTTTCAAAATTCTGGGAATAGATGCAACTTAGAAAAATCATATATAATCAACCAAAACTCCAAATTGCATAATTCCAATTCGCACAGGCAGCTAACAACAAATACTACGTTTGGCATGAAGAACACATTTTCATTCAGGCACGTTAAGGCCATCTAAAACAGCAGTGAATTAAGGACAAGATTTCTGTCCGAGTTTATTCAAAACAGAATGCTCGCCCAACTTTGGAAATTCATATAAAATTCATTTTAACTTCAAATCACAAAATTCAAAACTCACAGAAATTTCATTTAGAGCACTACAAAACTCATGAAGAACACTTGTCCAAGAAACATCATCTTGGTCGACAAAAACAGAGCCTAACTGAGGCTCGAATTTTTGGGTTTTCATGCATTTCAACAACTTAAAGTGCTCGGACAACACATAGCATCGAATCACATAAACTACACGTTAAGCAAGCCTCGATATCCATACTTTAAGACTTAAACATTCAATAAATCAAAACACGTTGTTCGAGGTCCAACTCGGTCTTATTAAACACGATAGAAAAAATAACATCTTACGATTCCTTATATATTTTAATTTGATAATATTGAACAACAGAAACTGGATGCACAATTGCAAAACTCTGGCCAAAATTCTTAAAATGAAAATTATATCAACATGGTTCTTGTTCGAGTTGGAACATAGGAGTTAAACTTTAATTCATCATAATAGTTCAAAAACGTTTAACCAAATTCCAAAAGTCAAAAACAGAGATGAACAACCAAGGGTCACGAATATGGTTTCACTCTTCACACTCGACGAATTTCAATGCACACGAGGTACGAGTGTCAGATAACAAAACAAGGCTCCGATTTACATGATTTAATCACAGCGACTCGAGGCTCGGTTTGAAATCGAGAGTCCTACTATTCACGAAAAATTCAAGAAAAGAAAACAACCAACGCATCGAACGAGCGTACGAACTAATGTATACTCGATTACCCAAAGGATTTTCAAATCTAACCGATAAAGAGCGAACGAATTAAAACAAAATAAATTCAATCATCATGTCGTTCTCCACGGATCCATAAGCAAATGGAATCGGTTCATCCACACGAGTCTGACACCAAGACTCCACTCCCGGTCATCGTTGACTGGGTTCTAACACGCGTCTAATGGTCTTATTAACAAGGGTTACAGACTCCCGAATAATCCACACATGGAATTCCTTCGGTCGTCTGTTCCCTGCACTTAAGCCCTTCTCCTTATGAGATGGCATTGCGAATGGTCCTCACTTGAAGATACTGGATTTACATCGAGAGGACTGCCGCAACAGAGCTCAGAGCGATAACATCATGACGAAATTCTAATAAACAAAAATCTCGAGCCAGATCTATACTCTATACCGCTAGAGTTCAAGTATGAAAATACGGAGGTCTACAACTCTTATAGAGTTCACCATTAAATACTAGAGTTTAATAATGTAGAAGTATGAGGATAAATTCCTAAGCCCCAATTACCAACATATCATATCACATCACGTGACAAGTAGTTTCATTGCTACTTGTTTACAAATCCACATTTCATATCATAAGCAGTCATATTACTACTTAGGCAAGAATACAAATTCACATTTCATGACATAAGTATTTTCATTGATACTTATTAAAACACATACCTTAAGCAGCGCGGCATGACGAAGGCGAGTGGTCGTAACATAAGGTCTAATCACATAATCACATATAAACCAGTCTACAGAAACGCAGACTGGCCCTGATACCAAATTATAACGCCCCTATCGATTTTTAAATAAAATCCATGGCTTTTCCAAAAATCAAGGTAAAATTTTCGAAACTTATTTTTCGAATCATAAACTTTTGGCGTTACTCATTCTTTTCAAAACACAGTTCAAGTCATAACTGAACTACGGGGATTCATTACCGATTTTCCAACGGTTTTCGTTAACCACATAACATAAACATAAACATCAGGATATTCTCAATCATATATCAAGAAGGGTTTTACTAACATAAACCAAATCCAAACGTTTTCCAAAATGAACAAGTTTCAAATCCAATCATAACAAGTTCAATACCAACATAGTTCATGAATAAGCGGAAACAATTAAATAAGCATAATAAGCAATGACCACCACCCGTCTTGTCTCGTCACGCGCCACTGCTTAACCCGCATCAGTTACGAGCAGGTGGGAGTGAGTACAGTTATCGTACTCACACTATGCAATGCACATTTAGTAATATGTTAAATAGGCATGGTCGCAGCATGAACATAAACAACATCACATATGTCACATCTCCAACACAAACATAAATACTCCTGTGTACACATCTTTCATAATAGTCGCGGAAAGGGGATTCATTACCCTAACGGCGAGAGTACGTGCCACGCAAGGACACGGCCTTTCATAATAGGTCTTAAGGAGACTTGCCTCGCACGGGCAACCGTATTACATCGACGGGGACAACCGTACCGATGGCCATCATAATAGCTCACATCGATAGGCTACATACTCACGTTCATACATAGATCACGCCAAATCAGAAAAACATATTTAAACACACATTGCACAGGTATTTTAGAATAACTAACCCACCTGGAAATTCGGATGGACGATAGCAATTATCAGAAAAGACGTGGGTCGAGGCTTGACTCCTCAACTACCTACATTAAGTCAAGGTCCTACAATAAATATCTTGACTTAAAAAAGAAAACACAAATCTGACCTAGTCGAACATATTTCGACTAAGTAGTTCGTGAAGTCCTGTGGAGTTGGAACACTAAGACTCATCTCTTAACTTGACGAAACCACATACACCAGATCACATAAATCCATCTAAGGATTGACCAAGTCAAACTCATATCAAAACGAAAAGCAAGTCGATTACCGATATAAATACCAAAATTATATTTTTGAAATAATAATCATTAATCACATAAAAATAGATGATCAGGTTACCCTATGAATCAAACTCTGAATTTTTACCCAAAATTACATCTCCCAGAAGCATCTAAAACCACAAATTTTCAGCTTCAAACTCGAAATACACTATTTTATAAAATTCGAACAAGATATCAACAAAACGGGAACATCAATTTATACTTAAACTTAATGAATGAATCAGTACTTGCAACTTTAACCCAACAACATACAGCATGCTAAAGTCCATGTATAAAAATCTCAGCCCTTAACATTAACTTCTACTATTTTTAAAAATCCATACGAGATTCAGCAGTTTATTAAATTTAAATAAAAAACGAATCAAAATGGATTCCAAAAATTCCAATCTTTTAACAGCATGATTTTACAAATGAAATAGGCATCTCAGCAAAATTTCAGAATTTTTCATTACATAACCGATTTATAAAAATTCAAACAATTTTCAGCAGATTCGATACATAATTTATTAACCATATTAAATCAAGTCCAAAAATTATACAAATTTAACACAACATATAAACATCACAGAGGCATGACATAATTGAATTTGAGCTCATTTGGTTCACGAATGAATTTATTATTCAATTAACACTACTCTGATGAGATTTCATTATATTTATTAAAAATAGCTACAGGCTCCTAAAAATCACGAAATTTTTACACAAGGGTAGTCTTGAACAGAAAACATTACCCTAAAAATTTCAAGTCGTTTCAAGCAGCGAGCTATTTTTAAAAATTCAAATACCAAAACAGCGACAATAAAGCTCGACAATTTTGACAATTAATCCGAACACGAGGCTAATGCTCGTCGGCGATGCATCATCTCGCGGAGGAGGGCTCGTTGCTGCAGCTAGGGCTCGACAAGGAGCTGCGAACAGAGGGCCTCGACGGCGATGCTGCTATGGCGAGGAAGGCCTGCGTCAATGGTGGT